TCTTTCTCTCATCAAGATTTAACGTTATCAAATTTTTCCTTCGAGCGACAACTATTTAATTCCTGCAACAGTTTTTTTTTTGTTGTTGTCCCTCTTGCACCCTTGAGCATTACAAAATCTTCGTTTTAATTTTTTTTTTCAAAGGAAAAAAAAAACATATCCAAAAAGACAACAGAAAAAATCGAAACAAAGGAGATTTGAAAACAGAAAAAATATAAACAAACACGTATATTTAGGATTCTTGATGGACTGTCAGTTCTGGCTCCGCCTTCGTCTCGGAGCTCCGCCCATTTTACACCCAGGAAACAAAATTTTCGTTACGAAAAAATTGCGCGATTGTAAAGGGGGCGGAGCGCGCGAGCGGGCGGGGCGGGGCTACAAAATATTTTTTATCATTATCGACATTCTTTTCTTCACCTCGTATATATCTCAAAACTAAAGCAGGTACTCGCTATCCTAGCTCTTAGTAATAGATTCTTTTTATTATTTTTTTTTTCTCATTAATATATTTTTGTTTTATATCACAATGCAGTCGCGGCTGCACATATTATATCTTTTTTTTTTGTTTGTTTCATTTTTTACAAAAGTATTAAAATACAAGCGATCTCTAGGCCACTCTTCCGCATCTTTTTCATCCCCTCATCATCACAACATCTCATCTCCATCTTCGTAATTATTTTTTTTTTTGCACCAAATTTACATCAAAATTGAAGAAACAATATAGTTATATTTACAAAATTACAAAAAATAGTGCTTTTTCTTATGTGTATACATATATAAATCTCTATATTATCATTATTCAATATTATTATTATTATTACTTTCACTCGATTTGTGTAAAACAACGAATCATTTGGCACAGTTGTTTTACGGTTATTCTTCTCTTTCTTTCTTCCTTCATTTGCGTCGAATTTATATATAACAATTTTCTTCGTGGTGGTTGGATCAACTTCAAGTTTGACTTGATGTAAATTCGTGCGCCGCGTATATAATAAAAAAAAAACAAAATAATAATAATAATAGTACATATTAACAGTAACAAAATGGGTAGTAGTACTTAAGAAGTCAACGAACAATACAAAAAAAACAGATTTTTTTTTAACGGAGAAGAAACAGCGTATCCAAGTGCGAATAGTAGTTTCGCGTCAGGGGTGGGTTTATTATTAATTTTTTTTTAGCAAGGAGAAAGGGGGTAACTGAAATGAAATCTCTTAAGTTTAAAACGGATTAAAAACGGAAATTAATGAAATATTCTGAATGTACAATATTATTTTTTTTTTTGGGATTTTGAATTTTTTTTTTTGAGGTTTTTGAATATTTTTTTTTGTTTGGGGTCGGGTTTTTTTTTGTAATCTTTTTTTTAACTCAGTTTGACGAAGGTTTTGGTAATTTTGCGTGCGTTAAATGTAAATCGCTCGTTTTCAGCCGGTCGGACTTTGGATGGTCGGGGTGGAGGTGGGCGGTACCAGGGATCTGCACTTGAGTCGTCGTTGGAGAAGGAGGCTCTCGGATGGTGGGCTGAGGCCGTGAGGCGGAGCCTGGTACAGGTTTGGGCGTTCCAAGTAGTTGAGCTGCATGCTGAAGTGCTGCTGGTAGACGCGGTGAACGTTGTTGGCGCTCTCGGCGAACTGGGACAGTTCGCGCGCCGAGTTGTTCTTCTTGATGATCTCGGCTGTTGGAAGAGTATCGATGTCTCCAGCGAATTCCAACCAGGGATGACGAAGGACGTCAGCGGCGCTCAGGCGAGACCTGGCCCTCTTCACTAGCAAAGATTGGATCAGGTTCTTGGCCTCCTTGGAGATGTGGCTCCACTCGGATTCGGGGAAGTCGTAGTGACCGTCCTGGATGCTCTGGAAGAGCAGCTGCTGACACATCGCGCAGTTGTCGCCGCGTTCCCAGCCGCAGTCGCCTCCGCATTTCCCGTAGAACGGCGGATATCCGCACAGAAGGATGTACATGATGACGCCCAGAGACCAGAGATCGCACCGCTTGTCGTACGCTGCGGTGTCCGCGTCTCCGATGAAGGCCTCCACGACTTCGGGGGCCATGAATTCGGCGCTTCCCACCGGCGTCAGCAGCTGCGGCGTAGCGAGTGGACTCGAGACGCTCGACTGGAAACGGATTCCGGAGCCGAGGTCCAAATCGCAGACCTTCACCGGGCACAGACGATCGTTGTGCACGCAGAGGATGTTCTCCGGCTTCAGATCCCTGTGGGCTATACCCTTCGCATGCATGAAGCTCAGTGCGGACGCCACCTCCCGCACTATCTCCGCTGCCGCCGCCTCAGTGAAACACTTGTGCTCCTGGATCCTCCTCAGCAATTGACCACCGTTAATCTGAAACACCAAAGAGAATACCATATTAAAACAACATCAAAAACGGGTCTACATCGAAATCCCAACAATTACATTCCTGACATTCAAATTTCATGGTAAATTAAGTAGATAGTTTTAGTTATAAAGCACGTTTACGACAAAATACAGGTAATACTCTAAACCAGGGTTTCCAAACTTTTCCTGCAACGTAAATCCTGAAATATTCACGAAACACACTTCATTCCACGTTTTCAAGGAACATTTATTAACAATCGATAATTTTATAAATTCCTTTGTTTTATGTCTACATCAAATAAGAAAAACATAATGTTGGAATTTTCAGTGTCGATATTTAAATTGTCGGTATTTCGATCCGAACCGATCAAGAAAGTTTCACAACCAAAAATTTAGGTCAGCCACTGCACTTTATTGCATAAATAACCGCTCAACCTAATCCAGATGCCTTTATTTAGTCAAAACAAACGCACGGCCAATTAATTCGGTCCATCTGGAGCAATCATCCAAACATATTTCAATGACCTAAAGATAAATAAAAATTCAAGAAAATCAATAATCTAAATGTGATTGCTTTATCCATAATGAATAATAATTGATATATAAACTTAAGCTGTACTTACTTTTTCAAAAACTAGATAGAATTTGTCCTCGTCCTCGAAGAACTCGCTGAGCTGGATGATGTTCGGGTGTCCCTGACAGTGATGAAAGGTCTCCACCTCACGGAAGACTCGATCGCGCGCGTGCCCCGGCACCTTATCAATCATTTTCACAGCGAATTCCTGATCCGTGTACATGTTGACGCAGGTCTGCACGCTGGCGTAAGCACCTTCGCCCAGTATCTCACCGGTCAATTTGTACAGCTCTGAAAGATAAGAAACGAAATGAGATTAGAAAAAAACTTAATACAAGCGAGCGAAGTTGCGAAAAGTGACGGTCGTGTCGGCATTGGAATGGCGAAGGAAAAAACGAACTATCGCAAAGGTCAATTATGTTTATTGGCTTAAGGGTACTCGAAGGTAGAAAGTAGGTTGATCGCTTTTCTGGGACAGATGTGAACACGAACGTGCATCTGCTTCTGTTCAAAACGAACGATTTTAACGATATACAAATTTAAGGTAATTTAAAAAAAAATATTTTTTTTATATTGAGTTAGGAACTTTCAAATTTAAGTCAAGATTTTCGTATGAACCTATTTCGTGTAGAAAAATACTTGGATTAAGTTGAAAAAGTTTTTGAGCAATGTTGAGACGTGTAATTGGTGGTTTGGGGAGTTCGAAAATTGAGTCAAGATTATCTCTGATGATGTTACCTTGGAAGCAAGAGGAGACCAAGGAAGATCCGGTGCGTTTCTTCTTGCGGCGACGTCTCTTGGCCTCTTCCTTGCGACGGGCCAACTCTCTGGCTCTGCTATCGGCGTCCATTTGGTCGCCACTATCACCGCCGCTGCCCTCTCCCCCATCATGAGGATGTCCACTATCACCACTCGATACTGCAACAAGAAAGATACAAACTATTAATAATCATCATCAACCTTACAATAGATAAGCATCATCTCACAATGATTGAGCAAACAATGATTCATCCATGAAGCTCAACAATTTTTAGATGTTTGATGATAAACATTACATTATCAGTTTTCGCTTCATTTTTCCCATCATAAACGCAACGCACATTTACAAATGAATCATAGCATAAATGTGAGTTGAACGACCTCAGAGGCAAACTGGATTGATTAAATTGAATCGCAATTAAATTCTAATTACCGCAAGATCCGGTGCTCGTAAATTGAATCATAACACCAAAAAAAAACTAAATAGAGGCGAGAGAGAGAGAGAAAAATATGAATTGGTAATAAATCTGAACGTATGTACGTACACAGACTTCCTGTCCGAAATAAATCATCGCGTTATGTTGTGTTGTAATATGGCACAAGCATGAATAATGTATAAATAACGCGGACGAAGAGGATCGATGTGATTTCTGTCTGTGTGTGATGGAAGGATAGTGAGAGAAGAGGACGATGCAAAGGCTTTCCTCCCTCGACGGACAAAGCTCGAGTGTTTCTCGTTTAAATGAGAAGAAGCTTTTTGATCCTCAAAAGATTTTCTTTTCCTTCTGCATCACTTGAACTCTGAGAAACGAAACGAGAGCACCTTTTTACATTTCACACAAATAAAACTTCTCATTCAAAATCGTTCCATTTTATTTTGATGGAATTTTTGTCGACACAAACTTATTTGCTAAAGTATTTCAAAATGTCCCACAAGTTTTCATACTGGGTCCCCTATATAATATAAAAAAAAATTAACTGGAAATATAAAATGCGATTCCACCAAGTTCAGTATTGAAGCCTAAATAAATCAAATGCTATTAATAAAAAATAATTGTAAAAACTCTAATAATTATGTAATAATTCCGTTGATTAAGTTCGAAAATTTGTTATTGTTACTATAGAAACAAGAATAAATAGTTAAATACGCTTCTTATTGTATTGATTAAGTTCGAAGATTTGTTATTGTTACTATAGAAACCAGAATAAACAGTCTCTTGGATACGGATGTATCACGAAAATAGAAGCTGCAACTGCGATTCGGTTTTGTTCGCAAATAAATGTCAATAACAAACGCGCCGCAGTTCCGATCGTTACTTGTTTTTTTTTCCTCAAATTTATTTTTTTTGTTTACAACAAACGGCCAAAATGTCGTTCTGCCAAAGCTATAAATCTGACCGCACCTAAATATACCAAATTTTTTTTTAAACTCTCCAATTAAAAACAAAACAAAACAAAAAATATACTTCCCAGATTAGGTTTGTTTATTTACGTCGAAATTCGAAAATTTTGGCAACGAAATTTTATTTTCTGCTGCGCAAATCCGCGTGTGCAGAGCGAAAAGACTAAATTAAAAATAATTACTGCATGACATCAACGACACACTTGATCTTTCTTTCTCATCATCATCGTCGTCGTCGTGCGATTCAATTTTCCAACGTGACTTTTAACTTTGCTTTTGCACGTATGTTGTGGTGTGTTCAGTATACACGAAATGTCTCTCACCATCCGTTTTTTTTTTAATATAATCTGTATATCCTTTCTCGTTCTGCAACTCCTTTCGCAACGAAAATTAACTCCTGACAGAGGCAATTAATTTCGACGTAAACTGGTTGCTGGGCTTTGTTTCTTCTCAATGGACTGTCTCAATGTTCCTTTTTTTCATTTTCTATTTCTGCACGTTTTCTGAATGTAATCGTTCAAAGTTATTAGAGCACTTTTTTTTTCGCAATTGAATTTAATTAATTACTTTGACATTGGCATATCCATCGCAGTTGGGTTCATGCGCTCTAGGTGTCGCTTCGCCAATTGAGCTCATAAATATACAACCCAATTAGCTGCAATGCCTGCAACCGCATTCATACACAAAGTAATTTTATGTAATCATACATTAATTACTTCACGTAATTTCAATAATATTTACCAAAACATGCACAAATATAATTATTTTACGTAATTTATCTACAGTTTATAAAATATTACCAAAAATTATGGTAACAATTTTTCCACGTGTAACGCTAAATAATTCCTTGAATTATTCAATATTTGCACAAAATTTCTGTTGATTATGAAGGTGTTAAACTTTTGTACATTGCCATTGTTGACGCATGTTCGTTCCTAAATATAACCTCAATGTTGTCATTGCATAACAATTTTGTAACATCAAATACTAATTTTATATTGAAACTACGTTAATAATCACGTGAGTAACTAAATATAAAACTTGTTTGTCAAGTGTAAGTTATTGAATTTCTACTTGTTTACTAATTTAAGTAAATTTTTTTAATAATAAATAAATGAGAATAAGAACATTTGACTGTTTTTGTTTTGACATATTAATTGTCATTTTACTCGATAGATTAGTTATTAGATTCGTCGTGTTTATCAACGTGTTATCAGTGCAATAAAAAGCGCTTACGTAATCTCGTCGCAAATAAATTTCGTAATAAATATGAACATAATTTTATCGATTTCTTTGGTACACACAATCAAATATTTGCAAGTGCGTTAAATTGAAAAAACAGATGGCGTCATCTGTCAAATGTGACAACCCAATTTCGCATCCGTTTTTCCCCTCGATTGTTTTGTTTTGTTTTTTTCTGCATTCGCCCTCTGCTGCGACATTATGCGGTGTATTACGTGTCGTTATTTAAGCAGCGCAAATCCATTGTTGTATAACCGCGAGTCTCGCGTTTCTTTGTTGGTGCAAGCAGGAAAACGTTGCGAGTCCGCATAAATGAATATTTAGTTAGAATTGACTTCACACTCCGCGCAATTCTATTTTTTTTTCGTATCGTTTTTCCATGCATTTTTCTTTGGTCATGTTTATATATAAAAATAAAATAAAATCAAGGATTCCTCAACCATTCCTCCACATTCTTTGCATATGTATGAGGAACGTAACAAAAGGCAACATGAGTCATGAGTTTTCTTATCACAACTGATGATATTCGAGCAAATGAACTAATTTAAAGTGGAAAATTTTCATTTTACGAATTTTCAATCTACGAATAAATCCATTTACAAAAAAAGTATAAGCTAATTGCGATACGTCATCTCTCGGTAGAAATATTAAATAAATTTAAAAAAAAACAAGTTTTTTTTTTATTAGAAAAACATTGCTTTTCACGTGTTTTCCTTTGTGCAGACAAAATAAATGGGAGGACGTTCCTTTTTAACAATGCGTGTTTACAGGATGATGCACAGAAATAAAAGGCATCATCCACCTCTTTTCTCTTTTTTCTCACAAAATAAAACTTTTTATTTCTGTTTCAAAGTCGCATCCCAGGCGGCCTTGGCTGCACGAAAAAATAATCGCTTTTCCACTTCGGGTTTTATTTTGGGAAATACGATGAAAAAAAGTAGAAGAGAGGAGGAACGCGCTCGTTCGAAATCATTTCGACATATAAATGCTTACATTCATCATTTTCGCAATCGTTGTTTTAATATACTTAAATTTCAACAATTTCTTGATAAAGTTTATTAATTTCAAGTTATAATATGAAAAACGATATAGTAAATTGTTAATTTTGAAGTGAATAGGTGCCCCACGTTGGTCCACAAAAATTTTATTTCTGTCAATTTTGACATATTTATCATTGTTGAATATGCAGTAACAATTAAACTTTACATTTAAAAAATAATTACAAGAAATTTTCTACAAAAATACTTGTATTAGCGTTTAATTTTGATAAGTAAAAACAATTGTTATACTTCAAATTTTGACATATTCTTGTCATCAACAGATAATTAATAAAAGATAGATGTAAAAAGCGTATTTTTAATTAATAATAAGCAAAAATCGTAGTTGATTTGTACAATTACAAGGAAAGTGCCCCACGTTGGTGGCCAAAATTATTGCAATTTTAAAATAAATGTCAGTTGTTAATAAAACTTTACTGATAACGAAATCACTAATTTCATGGCTTAAAACACGCATATGAAGATGTCATAGTAGAATCTAAACATTTGCCCCACGTTGTGCGCCAAAATGCAAACAATGTAATTGTCTCATAAAAAAGTTGTTCAATTGTAATAAATGGATTGTTAATAGCTGAAATATGTAGGAGGAAACCGCAAGCAAATTGCTTTAATGAGAATTAAATTGTAGATAAAACTTTTAACGGAAACTCGTAAGTAAATAATTTTGCATTTCGATAAGGTTATAATATGAAAAACATTGTATTTTGCATCTAATATGATTTCCAATTCACGTTTTAAAACAGAAACAAACATTCCACGCTGCGAGTCTTATTTATTTCAACATTTTCCGTGTGCGTGCAGACTGCAAAAAAAAGAACTTAAGTCGGACGTTTGGGAATCTTTCGAAATTTTCGGAATCGCTTGGCAAACAACGGCCAACAGCACCGGTCAGCATGAAAATAAACGTGAAACGTCTGAAAATAACGTCGGAGCGAGGAGGAAATGTCGGGGTTTTATAACCTTTATATTAACCAAAGAAAATAGAAAATTTTGCACATAATTCAATTTTAAAGCGAGTTTTACTTTCACGTCTCTAAATCCATTTCTTTAGTTACATTTTGCTTAGTAATTTTCTACAAAATTGCTGTTGTTCTTGTTCTACGTGATCTTTAATCTGTGTAGAATGTAACAAGTACACAAATTAATCTCCAGCTACGGTAATGTTAATGCAATTTTCTTGATTTACATAGATAATAACTCTCTACTAAAGTGCATTTCATCCGAAGCACACTTTCTTTCGACTCTTACTTTAAATAAATCCCACTTCACGGCTCTTTAATTGACTTTTAATTACGATTCCGAAAAAAAAAATAATAAATAAACGCTACAAGAAAGTCCAACGCTTCTGTTTAATGAACTTATTTTCACTCAAATTGTACAAATCATTAATAATTCATCATTTCATATTTATTAATTAAAAGAAAATATATTAAACTCAATTTCAGTATAACCTAATA